CGCCATAAGAAAGTGGCACCTATCATGACTAAAGAACCTCCCCAACTCGTCTCAACACCTCAAATGGGCCAATAAACCTTGGGCTCAGATTGCCCTTCTTCCCAAACCTCATAACACCCTTCATTGGCGAGACTTTCAAGAGGACCTTCTCGCCAACCATGAATGATACATTGCGCACCTTCTGATCCGCATAACTCTTCTGTCTGGACTGAGCTGTGCGAAGCCTCTGTTAAATCAACTTTACCTTGTCCAAGGCATCCTGCACCAAATATGTACCGTATAACTTAGCCTCACCAGGCTCAAACCACCCGATAGGGAAACGACACTGCCGACCATATAAAGCCTCAAATGGAGCCATCTCAATGCTGGACTGATAGCTGTTGTTGTAAGCAAACTCTGCCAAAGGCAAGAACTGATCCCACTACCCTCCAAAGTCAATCACACATGCTCTAAGCATGTCCTCCAAGATCTGGACTATCTGCTCCGACTGCCCGTCAGTCTGTGGATGAAATGATGTGCTAAGCTCCACGCGGGTCCCCAACTCACCCTGAACAGCTCTCCAGAAATGAGAAGTGAATTGAAGGCCTCTATTTGATATGATGGAAACAGGCACACCGTGTAACCGGAAATCTCCCGGATGTAAACTAAGCCAGTCTCTTCGAAGTGTAAGTAGTCACAACCGGTATAAAGTGTGCCGACTTGGTCAACCTATCCACGATGACCCACACTACATCAAAATTTCGCAAGGTCCGGGGCAAGCCAACTACGAAATCCATAGTAATGTGGTCCCACTTCCACTCTGGTATAGACATCTGTTGAAGTAGGCCACCCGGCCTCTAGTGTTCATACTTGACCTGCTGGCAATTCAAACACCTAGCCACATACTCCACTATGTCTTTCTTCATCCTCCGCCACCAATAATGCTGCCTCAAGTCACGATACATCTTTGTAGCACCCGGATGAATGGAATACCGTGAATTGTGTGCCTCCTCTAGTATCCTCTCCCTCAGACCATCCACATTAGGAACACATAAGCAACCCTGGAGTCGCAAAACACCATCCTCCCCAATAGAAATCTCCTTGGCACTACCCTGAAGCACTGTCTCTCTGTGAAGTGCCAAATGTGGATCATCGAACTGCCGGGCCTTGATCTGCCCTAACAATGAAGATTGAGCAACAATGCACGCAAGAACTCAGCTGTGATCTAAAATATCCAATCTCACAAGTTTGTTAGCCGAGGACTGGATGTCTAAAGCTAGTGTCCTCTCCTCTGCTGGAATGAATGCCAAGCTACCCATACTCTCTGCTTTCCTGCTTAAGGCATCTGCGACCACATTTGCCTTGCCCGGGTGATAAAGAATGGTGATGTCATAATACTTCAACAACTCAAACCATCTACGCTACCTCAAATTGAGATCCATCTGCTTGAACAAGTGCTGTAAGTTGAGATGCTCAGTATAAACCTCATATGATACCCCGTACAGATAATGCCTCCCTATCTTAAGAGCATGAACAATCGCGACCAACTCCAAATTGTGCACAGGATAATTCTTCTCATGGATCTTCAGCTAACGCAAAGCATATGTAATAACTCGCCCCTCCTGCATCAATACACACCCTAATCCAACGCGCGAAGCATCGTAATATACCGTATACATCCCTGAATCGGAAGGCAACACAAGAACTAGTGCTGTAATCAAGGCTGTCTTGAGCTTCTGAAAGCTCGCCTCACAATCATCATACCAAGAGAAGGGAGCACCCTTCTGGGTCAATCTAGTTAGAGGTGATGCAATAGATGAAAAGCCCTGCATGAATTGTCTGTAATAACCTGCTAACCCCAGGAAACTCCTGATCTCGGTCACCGAAGTAGGACGTGGCCAACTCTGAACTGCCTCAATCTTCTTGGGGTCCACCTTAATACCCTCTCCTGACACAATATGCCCCAAGAATGCCACTAACTCGAGCCAGAACTCACAATTGGAAAACTTAGCATATAGCTTTTGCTCTCGCGAGGTCTGAAGCACTACCCTCAAATGATGCTCGTGCTCCCCCAGGCTACGGGAGTATATCAAGATGTCGTCAATGAAGACGACGACAAATGAATCAATGTAAGGCCTAAATACCCTGTTCATCAAGTCCATGAATGATGTTGGGGCATTAGTCAAGCCAAAGGACATCATCAGGAACTCATAATGGCCATATCTAGTCCGGAATGCAGTCTTCGGAACATCCGAATCTCGAATCTTCACCTGATGATACCCTGACCTCAAGTCAATCTTGGAGAACACCCTAGCACCCTGCGACTGGTAAACAAATCATCGATACGAGGCAACAAATACTTGTTCTTGATGGTGACTTTGTTCAACTGGCGGTAATCAATGCACATCCGCATCGTCCCATCCTTCTTCTTCACAAATAACACTGGTGCACCCCAAGGCGATACACTTGGTCTAACAAACCTTTTTGGTAACAACTCTTCAAGCTGCTCCTTCATCTCCTTCGGAGTTATACGGTACAATGGGATAGATACAGGCTGGGTGCCTAGAGCCAAGTCAATACAGAAATTAATATCACGATCCGGTGTCATGCCAGGAAGATCAGAAGAAAACACATCGGTGAACTCTTGAACTACTGGAACTGAATCAATGGTCGGAGACCCTGCAGTGGTATCCCGAACATAAGCCAAGTAAGCCAAACACCCCTTCTCGACCATATGCCGAGCCTTCAGGAAAGAGATAACTCGGCCAGACGTATCAATTGTGGAACCCTTCCACTCCAACCTTGGCATCCTTGGCATCGCTAAAGTAACAGTCTTGGCATGGCAATCTAGGACGGCGTGATACGTAGATAACCAATCCATGCCTAGGATGATCTCAAAATCGATCATATCGAGCAACATGAGATCTGCTCTAGTCTCGAAACAACAGAGTGTGACCATATAGGACAGGTAGATCCGATCCACAACCACAGAATCGCCCACAGGAGTGGACACATGAACAGGAGTGCCCAAGGGATCAAGAGCAATAACCAGAAAACGAGCAAACAAAGATGACACATACGAATAGGTAGACCCTGGATCAAATAATATCGAAACATCTCTACCGCAGACAGAAATAATACCTTTGATGACGGCATCTGAGGCCAAAGCATCTAGCCTAGCTAGAAGGGCATAAAATCTGGTTGGAGCGCTGGCTAGCTGGCATCCACCTAACTGAGCAGTAGCTGGCTGACCTCTCCCTACCTGGCCTCCACCTCTAGGAAGGCCCCTATCAGTCTACCCTCCACCTCTAGGTGGCGGGGCAGTCGGTGCTAAAATCATAGGCTGTTGACCCTGCTGTACTACCTTGCCCCGAAGCCTGGCTAGTATTTCCTCATATGACCAAGGTCTCCGCACTCGAAACAACCCTATGGTGCGGCAACCTGCTGCCTTGATGGCTGACCCTGATGGCCTGTAGACCCACTGGAAGAATCCTGAATTGCCGGTGGATGGTATGAACTCTCCGACATAGCACTAAAATAAGAATTAGAAGAACCCTGTGGACCTGAATAACCACTGGAGGAACCCTGAATAGCTGGTGGGCGGTAAGAATTCTCCGGCGTTGCACTGAAATACGGTCTCACTAGAGCACCTCGGGGAGGTGGTGGTGGTGCTGAATATAGGGGTCTGCTAGGCTAACCCCTCCTGAAGTGACCTCTACCCCTAGCTAGGGCACCTCTAAACTCTCTAAAAACCCAGGCCCTCTTGTCCTGCTGAATCTGCTCTCTACCCCTCTGGCAATATCCCTCAATCCTGCTAGCAATCTCTACCACTAGCTGATACTCAGTACCCATCTCCACCTCTCGGGCTATGCTAGCTCGAATATCGGGGTGCAACCCTGCAACAAATCTTCGCACTCTCTCTGCATCAATGGGAAGTATCATAAGTATATGACGAGACAACTCAGAAAACCTCACCTCATAATCGATCACGGACATCTGACCCTGCTCCAGATGCTCAAATTGATACCACAACTCTTCCCTCTCAGAGGGTGGAATGTACCTATCCAAGAATAACTGTATGAACTGACCCCAAGTGAGGGGAGGGGAACCTGCTGGCCTGCCAAGAACATAAGACGGCCACCATCTACGAGCGCTGCCCTCTAGCTGAAAAGAAGTAAAGTCAACCCCATGTGACTCCAATATCCTCATTTTGTGCAGTTTGTCCCTGCACCTGTCTGTGACGCTCAACCCCGAAGGCAGGAGGGTGAAATCTGGTCCATCTATCCAACAACTTCCGCAGGTCGCCATCCACAGCTGGTCTGGGCTGGGGTGCCACTGCAGCCACTGGTTAGGCCCCATCTGCGGGTAGTGCACCCAGAGTTTGATACACTGCAGCCATGTCCAGGGGCCTGAGCAGTAGGGGTCTGTGCTCCCCCTCCTGCCTATGATGTAGCTGGATCTGCTGGAAATAAACCAGCCTGAGTCATGGAATCCATGAATCGCAGCATACAGCCCATGATCTCCTAAAAACCTGGTGCTATCATAAAGTCTGTCGGGGTAGGCTTGGCTGCGAGCACCTCGCACTGCTCCTCGATTATAGGATCTCCCGCAGGATCTACTGGTGGTGCTACTAGAATAGCTCTAGGATGCCCTCGTCCCCTACCTCGGGCTGGTGCCCTCCCTCGGCCTCTACCTCGGCCTCTAGCAATGGGAGGAGAAGCTCCTCCCGAGTCTGGAACATCAGCCATGCGTGTCCTCTATGAGAGAATAGAAGAAGGAAATTTAGTATACCAACCACTGCACGACAGAAGAGGGAGATTTAGTATACCAAGACGTCTCCATACCGATCCGCAAGACTATTAGGTTTGCCCATGACTTGTGAGATCTACGTAAACCTAGTGCTCTGATACCATGTTGTCACGACCCATTTTTCCATAATAGGTCATGATGGTGCCCAACACCGTTGTCAGGCAAGCCAATGCAGAAGTATTAGTGAATTCTTATTTTACTTACCCAAACAGTTACAACATTTTTCTTAATTTTCAATTAAAAGCAGGCACATTCAGTAATAATTATACAATCCAAAAGAAACGTCTACTAATGTGTGTGCCAAGACCTGGTGTCACAAACCGTGGAAAACTAGTAGAATATACAAAATAATACATCTATCCTACTGTCTGAAACAGAATAGACAGTCAAAAGTAAGGAATACTCCATCCAGCTGTTGATCGGCACAGGCAGGGAAACAGCTCACCGTGGAAGTCTCGGTCTATGATCAGGGACGCACACCGGTCTGATAGTCAGATGAACCTGCCTTAGAAACTATACAATTAAGTACCAGAAGCATAGCATGAGTACATAGACAATATGTACCCAGTAAGTATCCCGTCTAATCTCGAAGCACGAGAGGTCGACTTGATACATATTAGGGCCAAATAATATAATACGATATTATGCCAGGCGTGATGGTCACAAAATATAACAGTTGAAATAAGTATTTCTAAGTCATGTCATTTTAATGCCCCAGTTAATCCTTTACAATTTAAGCCATGTATCAAGCAGGTCATCAATAATAAATTCACATAAATATCATGCGCATGTTATGCAGAGGTCGACGGCCCGATCCAACATAAAAGAAATTATGCACTGCCAGAGGGTCGAATGACGCGAACCATAGATGCATCTATTTCTACCGAGGCGATCGGCCTGATCCACAAATATCAATTATCAACAGAAAAATACAAGAAGGCGCATTTATATTCAAACAAACTCATACCAGTGTTCAACACAACATATGTTCACTTATGTTCATTTCCAATTCTCTAGCATATCCTAAATGATCACATTAGCAAGATGACATATAACATTTGCAAATATAGCATGACACGAGTCCTAAACTACCCGGACAATTAACATGATAGTAGTTACGCACGGACTCTCGTCACCTAGTGCGTACGTATCCCCCGTATTTAGTATCAAATTATACAATCATTACTCCTATGGGGACAATTCCCTCTTACAAGGTTAGAAAGGAGACTCACCTCGCTCCAAAGTGCTCTTCCAATACTAAGAACGAGCCCGAACTCTCAATTTGAAGCCAAACGATCCAAAACTAGTTAAATGGGGTAAGGACTAGTCAATACAAGCTCATAAGACCACATTCTAACTATTAAAGAAATTCCCAACCTTAAACACAAGTTTCCTAAAATTCGACCCCGGGCCTACGCGCCCGAGTTCCGAAATTTTTCGAAGAAAGTTGTTCTTTGTAACCTAAGGATCAATAATATATAATTTTTATTTCGCTTCATACCTAATTTCGTGGAAAAATCTAAGTTTTATCAAAACCATAGGTTTTTGCTCTAACCCCATGATTTTACCTAAATCATAGTGTTTAATCTACCTAAGACACAAGTATTAAACTAAGAATAGGTGAGATAAGCTTACCTCAAGATGCTAGCTGGAGGTCTTCTCTCAAAAGCTCCCAAAATCGCCAATAGAGGAGTGAAAATGGCAAAAATACTTAGAACCCGTATTAAATGAAGCTCACTGCTTCAGCGATTTCCGCATCTGCAGTCCTGCTTCTGCGAGAAATTGGGTGCATCTGCGGAACCAACCAAGTGGGCTGCGACCGCTTCTGCGGTCTTGAAGCCGCTTCTGTGGTTTTGGGCCTGGCCTACCTTGGTCGCATCTGCGATAGGCGAAAAACTGCAGGTGCGATTATGACAGAAGCAGATGCTTCAACACTTCTCAACATTTCCAACTTCACTCAAGCCTTGTCCGATTGACGCTAGGGGCTCCCGGGCCTCGCCCAAACATGCCAACAAGTCTGAATCATGAAACGGACCTACTCGAACCTTCGGAACACCCGAAACAATGTTAAATCTAAGAATCACCCCCTAAAACCAATTGAGTCAAACTTATGAACTTCAAGTTTTTAATTTTCCTCGAACGAGCCGAAACGCCCTTAAACTACTTGGATTGACACCAAATTTTGCGGGCAAGTCTTAAATGTTATATTGGACCTGTATCAGGCTCCGGAACCAACATACGAGCCCGATACCCATGTGATCAATCATTATTTAGTTTTTTTTTTAAATCCTTAGAATTTCAGTTTAACAATTTCTAATAAAAAATTCATTACTCGGCCTAAGGACCTCGAAATTCGATTCCGGGCATATGCCCAGGTCCCATATTTTCCTACGGACCCTCCGGGACCATCAAACCACGAATCCGGGTCCGTTTGCTCAAAATGTTGAGCAAAGTCAAACTTAGCCTTTTAAGAAAATCTTAAGGAATCAAATGAGCATATTTCAACCCAAATTCTTCCAATTCCCGAACCAACTATCCCCGCGGGTCGTAAATTAGTTAAAGCAAGTGCATGATGTTTTATTTAGGGGAATGGGGTTCTAAAAAGCAAAACAACCAGTCGGGTCGTTACACTTTTGGTTAGGGATTATATGGAGCTGGGTAAGGATGGACATTTCTGGGAGGTGGAGCTCGATTTTGTGTATAATATTGTAGCCGCGGGTAAGGTTGCGCATTCATCACCGCATAAGGAGGTGGTGCCGGCATAAGCAACATCTTGAAGGGGATAATAGTGTGGTGGGACCATAGGAGTCACATATGATTGGCTAAATGACCTATGGGCCCCCTCGAGCTTGAAACCTCATGGCTCCATCTTCAAACCCATTTCTGTTCATCAAAGCCTCCGAACCATTCTGAGCAGCCTGTGATGTGGCCTTAAAGGCATCATGACTCAAGATTTGCCCTGTTTCTAAACCGTTTCAACCATTTCCCCAATTTTGATAGCCTCAGCAAACGGCTTTCCCATAACGGACATCATGTTCTGGAAGTAGTTCGCCTCTTGGGTCTGTAGAAAGATAGTGACCATTTCAATTTCACCCATTGGAGGCTTTATCCTGCCAGCTTGCTCACGCCATTTGACAGCATATTCGTGGAAGCTTTCCGCGGTTTTCTTTTTCAAATTGGTCAAAGAGTTTCTGTCGGGAGCGATGTCCACATTATACTGGAACTGGCGGATAAAATCTCGGGCCATGTCGTCCCACACATGCCAATAAGTAATTTCTTGATCCGTATACCACTCAGAAGCAATTCCGGTGTGGCTTTCCCCAAAATAGGCCATTAGCAACTCCTCTTTTCCACCAGCGCCTCTCAACTAGTTACATTATCGTTTCAGATGAGCGATCGGGTCTCCGTGCCCATCTTACTTTTCAAATTTTGGCATCTTGAAGCCAGTCGGCAAGTGGATATGGGGAAACATACAGAGGTCATAGTATGAGACACTTTTTTGGCCACTCAGACCTTGCATGTTTTACAGGCTTTGTTCGAGGCTTTTCATCTTCCGAGCCATTTCCTTTTGCTCGGAATTTTTAATAACCTTTTCTTGCTCCACCAAGAGATCATATTGCGGGGGTTGAGTGAAAGAGAACGGGGTCACATATTATATTTTTGATTGAAGTTGTGGACCCTGAAAGGTTAACATTAGAGACTCAATATACGACCGTGGTAAGGTTGGTTGTGTTTTGGTGCAGACTGGTGCTGCAGAGAACAATATTGGAGGTGCCCTGGAAATTGGCGCCTGGGGGCGAACCACAGAAGGCATGCCAAGATTATTGGAGGGCATTGGAGGGTGCCCACATGGGATGAGCGGGTTGGGCACATGGGCGTTGGTAATCTCACCTGACCTGGGGATCAATTCAAGGAACCCAAGGATTGCACTTGGCAGTTCCATACCATTAGACCAGGCGTCCCACATTTTCAATATGCGAAGAAGCAACATCTTATTCTCTTTAGCAGCTGCTGATTCTAGCTGCAAAATAGCCAATGCCGGGCTATCCTCAGGACCGATGGTTGGTAGATTGCTTGCGAAGGCCATCTGTGCCTTTAGATCTTGTGAAGGAGGGAGGCTAGACTACCAACAAAACCAACCACCAAAGCCTGGCTAATTTGTATACCCAACAACCTTGTTAGTTTTGAAACGCTTAACAGATAGGAAATCGCACGTTTGGATGCAATGCACCTAAATAGTTAAACGTTTCTATCATGTGTTTGAACGGTTGCATGTTTCATCCCGACCTTAGTTAACCCTTTCAGTATGTATCCCTTTTCTTTTATTTCTGTCTCTATTTAATCACTCTTGATTTGATTTTTTTATTTTGTTTCTGTCGCTCTTTTATTTTTTGGCACTCTCTTTTTTTCACTTTTTTTTTCTCAATTTTTCTTTCTCTTTTTTTTTTTCAGTTTATTTTTCACTCAGTTAATTTTATGGCTATGATCGAATCCGATGAGGATTGCCAACATATCATGTCGCCGCATGAATCAGATCTTGCGTAGTTCGGGAAGATCGAAATGAAGTAAATAAACTAACTTTTTTTCGGTTGGAATTTTTGAAAGAACTTTAAAAAGAAGAAAGGAAATATTTTTTTTTGATTTTTTGATTTTGATTTTTGTTTTATTTTTGAAAGAAAGACTTTTAAAAATTCATTTGATTTTGATTTGAACTTTGGGAATTTTAAAAGTAAAAAGAAAATATTTTTGTTTGATTTTCATTTGTTTTCTCTTTTTCTAAAGCAGAAAGAAAATATTTTTGGATTTTGGATGTTGCCTCTCGACTTTCGAAAGAGGGACTTTTAAGAAAATATTTTGGATTTCTGAGTTTTTATTTATTTACGAATAAAGAAAAGCGAAAATATTTTTGAACTTCAAATTTTTTTAAATTTTTTTATGACATTTACGAAAGAAAGACTTTTAAAAAAGGAAAAGAATTTTATTTTTTGGATTCTTTTTTTTTATTTTTGTGAAAAATAATTCAAAAGAAAGGAAACCTGCATTTTGGATTTTGATTTTTTTAATTTTGTTTTTTCTTTTCTTATGATTTTTTTCGTATGAAAGACTTTAGAAAGAAGGAAACTATTTTTTTGAGTTTTTAAAAAAAACTTCTCTTTTTTTGAATTTTCTAAGGAAAGATTTCTAAAGAAGCACTAAAGGAAAATATTTTTGGATTTTTTTAAAATTGGGGCTGGAACCAATGAGATTTGCCTCGTATCTCACATCCGGTGAGAATCAGACCCACGTAGTTCAGTCAGTTTTGATGGAACAGGGAAACATGACACTTGAAAATTTGGCTCATTTTGAAATGACTTTTTTCTTTAGAATTTTGGAAGAGTTTCAGGATTTTCAAATACAAACCTCACTCTTGTTTTGTTTTTTGTATTTTTTCTTTCCCTATTCTAGAAGCTGGTCAACATGCAAGCCGAATCAAACAAATGCGCAAGTAGCACGTAAGATGCATCAGAATGGTCTTTTAATTTTGGGTACACTTGTCCTAGACGGACCCAACCACTGTGTTGAGTCCCCAAAGTCAAATGCACGTGATGTAAACAAACGTTCCTACTAGGGATCCGGCATGAGGATGAGTTATTCTAAGTTTAAAAATCTGGGTGTATTGTTCTAAACCTGGTGTACCCGAGCGTACAACTCGAGTCGATGGGGGGTTACGTACTGGGAACCAAAAGGTCATCCAGCTTTGTAACTTGTCCGAACCTCTTTCTAAAATGGGGTATGACACTAACATAAAAGAAGTCACGCCAGCGTGCACTTCCTCGAATATGAGAAGAGAAGGGTTACGCAGCAGTTTATATATAGTTCAAATAATATCAAAGCGATAAAAGACGAATTTAGCACATTAGGCCCAAACATGTAATAAAAGTCAGATAATATATAAAAGCCAATTATAACAGTTATTCTAAGCTCGAATTCTTCAACCCTGAACCAGAAGTTCTGGATTTTTATCCACAACAGAGTCGCCAAAGCTGTCACACCTCCTTTTTATCCACCCGTGGTGGGATATAAGGGAGTTTTTCCAATTAAAGTGACATTAATCGAAATGAGATTATTTAATTTATTAGGGTCGCCACTTGGAATAGTTTAATTGGCGTCCAAAGTCACTGGTTTATTTTAAAATCCCAAATCGAGGAAATTTTGACTTTATTTTTAAAGTCTGCGAACCAGAAATTCTAAGGAATTCTGTTAACCCGAGAGAAGGTGTTAGGCATTTCTGGGTTCCGTGATTTGAGCACGGTCGCTTAAACTATTAATTATTGGCCTATTATCAAATTTACTACACATTTTAAACCTATTGTGCATTTTTAACTTTATAACCGCTTTTGATTATTTTATGGAATTATTCTGGAACAAATTACGATTATCGTACACTTGTTTGTTTGATACACATTGCGAATCATGTCACGGGAACCGTACCCACGATCTACAAGATGTTTAATTTATTAAAGTTATTAGAAGTTGTGGGGGTTCACATAAATGTACCCCCAGATTTGGAAATTAGTTATCACAACTACATTACGGGAACCGTATCATGGCCACGATGATTTTATCAATCGCGCCTAAAGCAAACTACGATATTCATGAGTTATTTTCCTAAACTACTTCAAGATTATTGTGAAAACCCAGAGTTATGGAAATCATTTGTGGATGAAGTGTAGATTTTTATTTCACCCGGTTTGTATTTGAGTCCGAATCCTAATTCTTGTTGTGACTTATTAAATCTAAAAGCCCAAAATATCATTAATCTCACTTTAATATTACAAGACCCAATGGCTCTAATATACCACAGATAATGAGAATGACTAGTTCACACTTGCCAAAATATTTTTTTGGAATCCACAAACAACAGACAAAGAGTAAATAGAATAACAGAATACTATAGGTTGACGAAACAAGATAAGAAGACAAATTGGATTAAATTTTGACACAAATATTGACTAAAGGTTGGTCCAACAGCTTCATTAGACGCCGAAATTATCCCAATCCAAGAAACTTAGTTCGATTAAAAAACATTAGGAAGAATGAGCCAAAACCACATTTCAAATAACTCATAAATGAAGTTATAATAAAGATAAGGATAAGGGTGTGGACCTGTGAGATGAACTATCACTCAATTTGGTGTTCGAAAAGTTATACACTTGAAGACAATGCTCAAAGCTCAACCAATTGCTACAAAATCCAAAGACAAGGACCAACATGCGAATTTTGAACCCCGACGGCACATCAAACTTAATTAGGGATGACTGGTTTAACGACTTATGCTGGATTTCATGAAGTTGCTAAAGCAAAGAAAGGAGAAAAAGTATTTGTATCGGTGGCACCAGATGCAGTTGGGCAGCTCGTTGGCCAATTTGCTAAATTGATGGGTTACTATATTGTTGGATGTGCTGGGAGTCGGAAGATGGCAGAAGTGGGTTGCTATTAGTGGTTGTTTGCGGCTGATTTCGTTCGAAGCTAGGGTGGGGAGCTAGGTTTTGAGATTGAAGGTGTAGTATTGCTGATTAATTCATTTTGTTCGTGGCAGATTGGAGAAGGAAGGTTTTTTTGTGAAGAAAGGGGGGTCTCTCTTGTGTAGGTCCAAAAACGGCGGATTTTTGCTTAGGGATCTATGGTATTTTTTTATTTTAGAAGTTAAGTCTTATTTTATAGGGGTAGGAATGTGGGCTCAATGTTTGGGCTTGAAGGGATTTGAGTCATGAATTTGGGCTAATTAACTTTGGGGTAGGAAGACTAAATCAAAATCTTTTTTTTTTCATTTTTTTTTTCTCTGATTTTAAAAATCTAATAAAATCCTAAATCAATCTAATTTGTAAAAATTGATATTGTTTATCTATTAAAACAACTAATTAACTTAAAACTAAATAAAGACACTACTTCCTAAAGACTAAAAGCTAAATATGTAATAATGACCATTTTTGTGATTTTTTCATAATAAAATTAATTTTTTCATGCAAATTGGACCTATGATGACATGAAATTAAACGTGACATTTTTCATGCAGGGCAAAAATTAGGTGCTCACAAGCGCACATACAGGCTGCATTATAGAAGGTCGCAACAGCTACAAGATTTGAAGAATTCCGACAACAAGTCGTGGTGTGAGAAAGAGACCTAAAGGGGGGAATGCCCTAGCCTTCGAATTTATACACAAAACAATTGCCTAGATGGAAAGGACAGTATTAAAATATTCATAAGAGCTATAGGTTATGAGACTAATAGGCGCATCAATCAACATTCAAGGACGAATGTTCCAAAGGAGGGAATGATGTTACATCCTATGTTTTCGTACGTGAGAGTATTTGTAAGTCAATTGATGTAAACTCAGAAATGAGATCAACTTTGAAAGTACATAAAGTAAGTTAATCATGTTACAATGGAGGTTACAAATATTTAAGATCATGAATACCAAGTACCAAGAGGGTTTGAAGGCTTCGAAGCTAAATGAATTGAAGAAAAAAAAGTTTCGCCGAAAGTCGACAAGTTGGGAATGTTGTAACATGTACTTTTGGGTGAGAATAGGGTGTTTAAAATTATAAGGAGATTATGTTATGAGTTATTTTAGTTGTGTGATAGACGTGTGTTATGATTTGAAGTTGAGCGAGTTGTGGAACAAAAGTTGGAAAAGGTCATCACAAGTTACATTCATAAATGTGTTTAAACTTAGGTCAAATGTAACTGCAATTTTCTCCCAATATACTTAGATTTATGGGGTGTTCCACCCATAAAATTGAAGCTCTATGAGTCTATTTTCTAACTCATTAAACCATTTATCAATACAACATAAGAGTAGAGAGAGATATGAATTTTGGCAAGATTGCATAGGCTACTAGGTGACAAGTAGGTGTGTCACCTACTTGGTTAAATGAGAGCCCAAAAAGAGGCAATTTCGGGTTAGTCAAAGAGCCCATTTAAGGGCTTATCTCCTGAAATATAAACCTTATTATATATCACAAATAACCATACCTAAACCCCTGCAAACTTCCTCCCAAAAACTACCCACAAACCCTAATTGATTTTCTCTCCCTTTCAAGTTCTAATTGGGGGTAAAACCTAGAGTTTGAAGAACCAAGATAAGGGCTGAATATCCAACAAATAAGGTAAGTTTACTGCTCTATTTCATCCATATTTTTTGATGTAAATTCATGGTAAGTCGTTCTATACTTTTAAGAACTCACGGGACGGTGGTCGGAAGCCGTGAGTTCGAGTTATTCACTTGTAGCGGACTATTTTGTGGACTGTTTTGTGTTGCTATTGGGCTGCGTATTTTACTACTCCTTTGTGGAGTTTTGGATGAGGAAGGGTGTGGATAATCACTATATAGATGTAGGGTGGTGGGCTGATCGTTCATCGTAATATTTTCGGGTCGTTTGACACTACTATGGTGGTCGTTTTATGTATGAAAAGATTGGAGTGTGTTGGGCTATTTTGTAGTATTTGATGGTGTAATATAAGGCTAGAAAATAATGTATATATATTGTTATTGTTGTGTTCTTATGTTGTTGGGGTAATGTTGAATTTGGAGGAAATAAGGATTATAGGGGAGATGCTGCCCGTTTTTATACAAAATAAGCTTGTCGTCCGTTGTGCGATAGTTGTACCTTTCATAACTTAATGATAGTATTATTATCGTTGTTGTAGATTAAGGTGAGAAGAGGCGAGTTCAACTTGGTGATTGGATATATTGTGATAAGGTATGTTACGACTAAGTCTTTCCTTCATTTTGGCATGATCTCGTAATTACATGTGTTTGATAACGAGGCATAAAGAGAAGTTCATACTCCCGAATTTATATACACTATCCTACTCTAATAAGTTACAGTATTCTCCCTTATCGGGACTTCATATTCAGTTTAGTTTTGTCTTCTGTCAACCAAGAGAGCAGAGAGTCTATATATATACAATATTACAATATTTTCACTACCATCGAGCTATAATCGATGGGCAGGCCCCTATTGGGCAACCTCTGATCAGATGGTGAGTTATATACCGAGCCTACTGTGGTCGAGCGCCTATGAGCGAGCCCAGAATGGCCGAGATACAGAGCGTAGTATGGCCAAGTGCCTACGAGCGAGCCTACTACGGCAGATCCGTTACACATACTGAGCCTTATAACGCCAGACAACTATTTTACTTACTATATTGAGACAGTTGAGCCAGTATTAGTAGGTAAGCATATCTTCAGATTATCTTTGACTCCAAGTTACTTTCAGTTATTATATTATCAGTTCAGTTTCAGCTTTCAGTTATCCTGTTGCCTTACATACTCGGTACATTATTTTGTACTGACGTCCCTTTTGCCAGGGACGCTGCATTTCATGCCTGTAGGTCCTCATTGACAGTTGGACAGACCCTCCCAGCGGACAAAGTCAAACATCAGCTTAGTTGGTAAGATCCACTTCCTCGGAGTTGCCAGGTCTAGACCATGGAGTCCATTTTATATATACAGGTTTGATGGGTAGGTCGAGGCTCTGTCCTGACCATGGTACAGTTCAATTATCTCTAGAGGCTTGTAGACAAGTCCTGTATAGTTTGTATATCATTAGATGTTCATGGCGGCCTCGTCAGCCTCTACAATTATATATATGAGCTTTTGGGTATGTTTACCCCACAAATGAGAGAAACGTTATTTTCAGACGATTTAGAATATGGCCTCATCAGCCTAAGTTGAGGGTTACCCCTCTAGAGTCCACAATTACAGAGTGATACGCTCGTACGACACGAGGTGACGGCCATGCCTCTTCTAGTTTGGGGCGTGACACATACTCTCAAAGTACTCAGTATCACTGCCTCACACTCTCACTCATCACGTTTAATCACTCATCACACTTAGTCACTCAACACTGTAAGGTACCTGATGTGGCGGTGCACAACCCGATCCCATCATGAATTAATAAGTATTGCGCTCACTGTTGGTATGTCACACTCCAGAGGGGTGGATCCTGCCCAAGCGCCAATAAAACTTATTGCTGCATGTAGCCCGATCCCATCATGAATCAATAATGCCTATTGCGGCATTCAGCCCGATCCTATCATGAGTCAATAGTACCCGTTACATCGTGCAACCCGATCCCATCAATAACACTCACAAACAGGCCCTCGGCCTCACTCAGTCATCAATCTCTCCAGTCTCTCTGGCTCGTAAATCGCATGCCAATCAGCCCAAACAATGATAACATGATGTGAGAACAAATGATAACAGATACTGAGATATGATATGCAAATGAATGAATATGACTGAGCATGTAATTGCAATTTAAGCAAATAAATCAACAGCAGAAATGACCTCAGTGGGTCCCAATAGAATGAGTACATGGCCTAAACATGGTTTCTAACATGGACCACAGCTCAATTACTCTAAGACGTAGGAATTTCATGTTTAGAAACAAGATAGATAGCTACATAGTACTACTGAATCAACCGAGTCAATATTCACCCGGTATACGCCCAGAAACCCGTCATCTAGCATATGCGTCACCTCAACCACAAACACATAACACATATATTCATGGGTTCATACCCTTACCGCAAAGTTTAGAAGTGTTACTTATCTTGAACAAGCCTAATCTAATACTGAGCAAGCCAAACAATACACTAAAAATGCTATCCCCCCCGTACCGACCTCCGAACAGCTCAAAACTAGCTATAAACTACTCAAGAACATCAAATAATACCAAAGAAAACCATCACAATCAATAAAGATTGAACTTTATTCAAAATTCCCAAAGTCAACTAAAACGTCAAACCTGGGACCGCACCTCGGAACCCAACAAAACTCTCAAAATCTGATAACCCATTCAAGTACGAGTCCAACCATACTAGTTTCACTCAAATCCGACTCCAAAACAATGCTCAAAACTCAAAATTTTACTTTATGAAATTTTAGTCAAAAACACCCTAATTTCTCTTTTGTCATCATCAACCAAATGCCAAAAACTAGGATAGATTCATGAAATATAATCAAAACCAAGTAGAGAACACTTACCCCTACCCATATGGTGAAAATTGCCTAAAAACTTGTCTCAATTCAAGCTCCATAGCTCTAAATATGTTAAAATGGCAGAAACTCCCAAAAATAGAGTACTTATAATCACTGGACGAATTAATGAATCGCGATCGCGAGAAGAAAAATGCACTGCCCCTGAAATACTCTATGCGATCGTGGAACAAGCTTCGCGATCGTGAAGCACAAAATGCTCAGCCTCGAAAAGTCTCTACGGGAATGCAGCCCCAGGCTCAGAACGCGATGAAGAAGCCATGAAGACCTACCCAACTTAGCTCTACACTGCGCGAATGCATACACAATTGCACAAACGCGATGCTCAATCTCTAGCAACCTATGTGAACATGGACAAATATTCGTGAACGCGAAGAAGAAATACCCATCTCTAGATATTCCCCTACGTGATCGCACCTCAAACTTCGCGATGGCGAAGAACATTTGGTGCACTAGACATCAACAGAAACCAACAATGCAAATATGAAGAAAAATGGTTCAAAATCAATCTGAATCACGATCGAGCCCCTCGTGACCCCGTCCGAACAATCCAACAAGTCCCATAACATAATACGGGCCTAATCGAAACCTCCAATCACACATAACAACATCAAAACCATGATTCGCACCTCAAATCAAACTTAATGAACTTTGAATCTTTCACCTTCCAAAACCCATGCCGAACCTTATTAAATCAACTCGAAATGAACTCAAATTTTGAACACGAGTCCCAAATGACATAAGAAGCTATCCCAATTCCCGGAACCACAATCCAAAGCCAATGGCATCAAAGTCAACT